TAAAAATATGTCCATCTTATGGAATTCAAGACAAATAAGTAAAATTGATCAGGGATCAAATCAGAACACTCCAAGATTCTTACTAAATTTGAAAAAGATGGTTTTCCATGTGTTTTTTGGAACATCTATGTGGGCTGATTTGTTTGAATTCTTGTCATTTCCCTTTTAAAAGTTCTTTTTAGATTGTTTCTTAACCAATCCTCTTCCCCCTCCTCCTCCTCCTCCTCCTCCTCCTCCTTTAGAGACAGAGATGCTGAGTCTTTCTGGTATCAGTTGGGTTTCCCAGGAACGAGGTCCTCTCATTCAGAGTCTTCTTTCCATAGTGCTGGAGATGGTGCTGCTAGTGGGGATAGTATAGTGATGAGCAGAAGAATTAATTAATGCTTTTTGATACAGAATTCAGATGAGAACCTCTTTGACTTCAGACCAGAACTTGCTTAAAATATATTTAAACATTTGTGTTTGAATAATAGTATCTGGATATTTTATAAAATTTTGGTTCAGAGAGGCCCTCAGCACTTCTAGGAATAGCCTATGTTAATGAGTTCTGTAGACACAATATTTTTTTTGATGACCAAACTATATGATGTCCTCAATCTCAGTATTCAATAGTATAGGATTATGAACTTTAGAATGTTAGAGTTCCATTCCCAACAATAGCATGGTAAAGCCATAGCAAGGACAGCCCCATGTCTTGTATTGACCATATTGTTTCGATGGTGGATAAACAGTGAAAAAGAAAATGAAAGAAATAGAAGGTAGGCCTCCTATAAAGGATGGGATTGCTATTCTTTTTAAGTAATAAGATGGTGTACTAAGGAAATCCAAGATAATCACCTGAAAACCTTTTAAAACCTATGAAGATTCCATCCGAGTGATTAGATAAAGATAAATATCACAATATTAATATTCTCCTGTATGAGAAAAGGTACTGGGAGAAATGTTTCAAAGTGGGAAGAAAGACCAAAGAATGTTGGGAATAAACCTGAAGGACAGAAACCAAACTAAAAAAAAAAAAAAAAACAAACCACAACCCCCCAAAACAAATTTTAAAAAGCAAGAAAAAGAAAATAAAAACACAAAAAAAGAAGCCAGGACTCTTCGAATAACACAGAATACAAAATGATGGTCTGAAGAAAGGGAGATACAATATTCCTGGAAAATGAAATTCTATATGCACAGATGCCAATTCTTCTCAAATCAGTTAAGCCTGTACATTTTTAATATGATCCCAATGGAATTTTAAAGGAAATTGAGAAGGTTTTCCTAAAAGTCATTTACGGGAGTAAAGACTAGAGACAGAGAAGGTAATTATAAATGTTATAATAATGATGGGAGGTTTCCTAATCCCAAATCAAAGCACAGAATAATTCCAAAGAATAAAATAATGGCACATACACATAAAAATCTAGAATGGACAAAAATTAATAACTTTGTACATATGTTTTATACGTGTGTTTTGATCTATGTTGACCCTAATAAATAATAAAAGTTCACTAAATCACAGTGAAGACAGTTTGGGTTGATAACAACCAGAACATTTCCAGAAAATAAACTTTCTATACAGCCCAGGCACAGAAATAAAACCCAGATGAAGGAAAAATCTAGAAGTAAAAAATTAGGTACTTTGAAATAAAGCTAAAAATAGCTAAAATTAAAGGGGTATATTTCTGTGGTTACAGGATGGGAAGAGCATTCCAAGCAAGAAGTGAAATGCAGAAGGAAGAATGACTCTAAAACTGTGAAAGAAACACCAAGAGATGATCAGCAAGGAGAAAATAGCAGCTAGAATATAAGCTCTTGACTCACAGAAAATATCTGCAACACAGTTATTATGAAGACGCATGGCAAGATGTTCATACTTGGTAATCTGAAAATACAGATTAGACTGAAACACAATTTTCTCTTATCAGATTGGCAATAATTTCCTTTTCTAATACCCCAAAGTAAACAGATCTTCACATGCTGTGAATGAGAGGCCAAATTGGCATGGACCTTTGGTAATCTCTGTCAGGACTGAAAATCTACACATCTTTATCCAATAATTCTGCTTAAAGAAATCTGTCCTTTAGAAATAGTCATTAATATGTGTCACAAAGACAGGGACGTTCCGATCTTTATTATGTGTTGCTTATAATATCAAACCAACAGCTAATAATAATCCATAAATAACCTACATATGCACATATAGTTGAACTCATCAACAACTTTTAGTGTATTGTTTTACCAAATCTCGCCTGTCTCTAAAGGAATAAGATGGCTAATGTCAGCCAACATTTGTCAGCACAGAACGTGCCACACATTAAAGTAGGCATTTGCACGTCTTTTACCATATTTCCTCTCCAAATCCTAAGAAATAGGTTACTATTATTTTCCTTATTTTATAGATAAAAAATCAGGTTTTAGTGGAGGTAAGTGACTTACCTGTTCTGGCAGTTAGTGTCAGAGCTGGGATTTGAGTTCAGGTCGTGGGTGACACAGCAGAAGCTTTTCATTGCTAAGCTGTGTACCAGTGTTACTGTACCAAAGCAAGTGTGAAAGAATGCACATACTATACACCATTGTTGTAATGAAGACAACTTTTTTATATGTTATGGTTGCTATGGTTATGTGTATGTTGTTGCCTTCTGAAGTGACCTTAAAGAGGTGGACTGAGGAGTGACTTCCATATGGACTTTTATGTTTTATCTCCTCCTCCCTTCCCTTTCCTTCCTTTCTTTTCTTCTTACTCTCTTTCTTATCTAACTGAAAGAATACGTGTAAAACTTTTATATTTTTTTGGTATGTAACATGATATTTTGAATTGTGTATGCATTGTGGAATGGCTAAATAGAGCTAATTAACATGTAGTATCTTACATACTTTTTGTGGTGGGATAGTGTTGTTTGCATTTAAAAACTAATGGGAGCATGAGTCTTTTTATGAATTTTATAATTTGAAGTTTCCCTATAATTTCACTTCCCGCAAAATGAGGGTATTATACATATTTTGAAGTGTTTTTATTTTCTGTATAGATTTATATGCACATTATACACAGGATTGGAATCATATCATCCACAATGCTGTTTTTTTTACACACAGACTATTACAATATGTGACTAAAAAATATATACATTAACAGACATATAAATTATATAACTAAGCATATATATTACATGTTATATATAATTTATATGTCTGTTAATGTGTATATACAACTTTTAAAAGATCAAGAATTCTTTACATATTCATACATATACACATTTATACACACATACATTCACATATACACACACACATATATACAAATATCAACACATATTCATATATAAATATGGATAGATTCTGGCAATTTAGTGGGACACCTCATAACTGGTTTCCCTGTGGGTTTGTGTTGAGGATAGGACCCAAAGTCAGGAGCATGTTCCTGGCTCCAGCTCCGCCATGAGCAATTTGCCTCCTCCCTCGTAGCCATGCCAGGAAGATTAAGACGAGCTCCCTGGCCTTCCTAGCTGTGAAAACCTACACTCAGAGGCAAATGGACATTGATCCTATGCTCCTGAGACTCCTTTTGTGAATACCTGTCTTCTTTCTGCCTTAACTTACCTTTGGTATGAGTCTGATCAACTGAAGGTGCTTAGTAAGGGATTTTCTGCGGTTGATCTTCTGTCTTGCTCTGCTGAGCTGGCAGTGCCTCACCTGGATGCCCTTTGTATGGAAATGCCCACTTCATTGTAGCCCCTTCCCATGGATATTCTCCATTGTGGTGATATAAGAGCGGCTATTTAACAGTGCTCACATGTGACAGGCACTTGTCTAGGGGCTTTGCATACAGTAAGTGATTTCATCTGTACAACACCCTAATGTACAGGTAGGTAACACAGTTGAGGTACAGAGAACTGAATCACTGGACATAGCCAGAGGCTGGTGGAGTCCAGCTGGGGAGCGTGTGCTCTTGACCCCTGCACTGTCCTCATTGTCCTGTTCCCTTGGTCCTCTGCTCAGCCACTTCCCTGGAGGAGACCAGTCTGTGGGTCTTGGGCTGCAGGATGTGGGCTGTGCCCTTCAAGGCAGGGGCCAGTGCCCATGACTGTGTCCTGCACAGAGCAGGTGCTTCACAGTCCTGCTGTTTGATCAAAGGAGAAAGAG